AAGAAATGCTTTCACAAAACTCCAATGAAAATGTGATGTATTGCTGCGAGTTTCAGCCTTGTTTGTCTTCTCAGAATCTCTTCGTGTTGCCAGGATGATGATGCCAAGTTGGCAGCTATAGGCATATTCATCCTCTTTAAAGCTTTAATCCTTCTAGATTGCTGGTGTGTGGTCGTTTGACCCACGTTCATTGCAGGTTCTGCGCATTCCAGCGAATGACCCCTCTAGGTTTTGATTTAGCTGAGCCTAATGACTATCAGGGCAAGTGTAGCCTAAGCCAAACTTGAGAGAAACAATCCCTGAAAAAACTTCAGTTTAATTCTCAAATGTGGTCTTAAGTTTTTAAGCTAACAATACCAGTTTATAACGCATTTTCGGGCTCTGTTCCGTCATTTAAGAGAACCCATTAATAACTAAATTAAAGCATATCCTAAAGTGATGTCTCGTGTTTGCCTGCTTCACTGTTTCTGGGTCTGGATTTCATCTATTTAGAATGGTAATCCAGTAAGCACCAAACTTGATTAATCGGCTAATCTTTTAAGGAATAATCTTTGGTCATATGAGCAAAGCCTTGCGTTAGCCAAACTCGAGAGAAACAAATACGAAAAAAGTTGTTTAAGTTTATATGCTAGGTCCTAGAAAAAAAAAGAGTCACTTTTGTGGTGAACAATACACAAGAGACCAAGTTTGGGTAGAGGATTAGAGTTGGTAAAATGTCAATGAAGGCAGTTAGGCACTACATTGCCAGGATTGGTTGCAAAGCACATGCATGCTTCAGTCTTCTTCTTACTGGTAAGTGAGCTCCCTAGTCGGTAGTACTTTATGCTTAACGTTGAAAGCGATTCAAAGAGAACCCAATAGACACCAAGTACTTTCTTTCCATGTGACTAATTTTATGCCCATCAGAATTCTTTGGATACTCAAATGACAACACTATTATAGAGGTGTAGACACAACACTAAGGTACTGAAGGAAACACCAACCAACCGTTTGACCAGGGTCCCATCACTGCTTCACTTGATTACAACAGAAATAAGAATATTTGGTGAGAGGAATCGTTGATTAGCAAAATCCAAAATTTCTTGCCTGTTCACTGTCCATTTCTCCCCAGTAAGTACTTATATATATTTACCATATTACTACATTATTATTTTTTTATGTTCTGCATTTGAGGGGTTAAGAATTTCAATTTTGTAGATGAAAAACATAGCTTCATACCAAAGGCTGCGTATGCATCCATGGTTTAGCTTTAGTTGATTGATACCATTTGCCTAATTCCTAGATATTAAGCTATGTGATGTTGATCCTGATGAGATAAACATCAAGTTATGTACATGAGAGCCGTTGAATCAAGCTTGAGAGTAAAATAAGGCATATATATAACAGAATTTGACTAAATATATTGTCATCTACTATTATTTAAAAGAGCTAGGAAAGGGTAGTGGACCATTAGAAACACTACAGAAAGGCCCTCCTGTCTTTACAAATGTTGGTTTGTGATGTGTCGGATTCTTTTGATTTCTTGCCTAATATAACTTATTAGTAAGAGAGGATAGGGACAAAAATGAAAAATGTAGATATAAAACGGGAGTGAAGAATGAGCAGAACCTATGTGAAGATGGAGAAGTGGAGGAGCTGGCTATGGTTCAAACAAACATTCGTCTTCTCTACTAAGTGTATTCTTTTGAAGCTTGCTTCAAGCTTAAGACACAAAACCAGAGGTAAGTTAAGACTGAGTTCATTAGAATCAGTCCCTATGTCTTCTTCATGCCTTTTCTCCTGCAGTTAGGTATATGTTAAATGGAAGAGATTTGTGTTCAGCAATCACATGTCTCCTTCTTGATAATTAGAAAGAGCAATTAGGATTCATCGAATATTGAGATGAAGCTATTTTGTTTTAAGCTGATCTTGTGGGAGGAATGATTTTGGTTTTATCTGGTTTTCTTATACTCTTTAATGACTCTGATGACAGGAAACAATCATGGACTTATGAATCTGTACAAGGACATGGAAACTTGTGGGGAGTATACAGACATACAAGTGATGTGGGAAATGATTCACCCTTGCCATCCAATTGCTCGAAACACTTGAAGGATCTACCTTAAAGGATTCACACTTTGAAGCATGAAGCATATGGTGTATTTTTATCGAGGAAGCACTTGTTTTTTTATCTAGCCTATCACCTGTAGACATACAACTCAGTAATTCCAATTGGTGCTGCTTTTATCCTCTATAATTGAAAGAGAAACATACTAGATGAACTTGCTAATTCCTCTTCAAGCTATTATATCCTGACTACGAAATGACAATATATATGTGCGGGTTAACTACAAAAATGCTTTTACCGATCGATCGAGTCAATTACTATATAAAGGAGGGAAAATATCTCTCTCTCTCTCTCTCTCTCTCTCCCAGCCAATAATTGCAACATTTCACACACACCTTCACAGATAGGGAGATGGATTTCAATCACGTAGCTTATAAACCTCATGCTTTTTGCAACTTTGCATCCTGTTCCCAACTCAGGGTCACATAACCCCAACGTTAAAGCTAGCAAAACTCCTACTTTTTAAAAATATTGAATGCTATTGGATCTTCTCAATCCCAACATTCTCTACCTTCACAAAATCGGCCCACCGGTATATGGACAACTGTTTACATTGGGTTCTGAGATTAGTATTGGAATAACCGGAGGATTGTATTCTCTGGACTAATACTAGTGTTTAATGCTATTGAGCCTTTTTAACTCTAAAAACTAGCTCAAAAAGTGACTTTTCGTCACATTTATAACCAAGTATCTAACCCATTTTACAACTGATGCAGGATAAACCAACAAAAATTTTCCACATAACCTTTGTCAATTCTGAGTATAGCCACAGAAGACTACTGAAATCCAGAGGTTCCAGCTCTCTCGACGGCTTACAGAACTTTCGGTTTGAAGCTATACCTGATAGCTGCCCACATACAGATGATTCTGATGCTATTCAGGACATCAGTTCTGTCTGAGACTCCACTAAAAACTGCTTGGTTCCGTTTCGCAATTTACTTTACAGGCTCAATGACAGTACTGTCTCCCAAAGTCCTGCCGGTCTCCTGTGTTGTTTCTGATGGTGCTATGTCCTTCACACTTGATGCTGCTGAAGAATTAGGAACTTCTGACATACTGTTTCATACACCTAGTGCTTGTGGTTTTTCAGACTACACACAATTCTGCATTCTTGTTGAAAAAGGCTTAACACCTTTCAAGGGTAAAAGAACTCTTTCATGATCAAAATTCAAGATTCATCTGGTGAGAGAATATACTAATTTGCTGTGATGCAGATGCCAACTATCTGACCAACGGGTACCTAGAAACTACTATAGATTGGATTCCAGGTATGAAAAATACTCGTCTAAGGGATCTCCCAACTTTCATCAGAACGACAGACACAAATCATATCGTGGTCAGCTTCCTCATAAGGGAAATAGAGAGAAGTTCAAGAGCTACTGCTATCGTTTTGAACCCCATTGACTCCTTCGAACATGAGGTTTTGGATGTTCTTTCAACAATGTTTCCCCCGATTTATACAATTGGTCCTCTCCGCTTGCTTGCTGATAATCAGATAACAGATGACAGACTGAACTATATTGGTTCAATCTATGGAAAGAACAATCGGACTTCACTGATTGGTTTGATCCAAAAGAACCAAATTCTCTGGTGTGTAAATTTTGGAAGCATCACTATGCAAACATCACAGAAAATGCTAGAATTTGCTTGGGTCTAGCTAACAGCAAACAACAAGCTTTCTTATGACTTTAGTGGTCGCAAGTTCGACAATTTTGCCATCTGAATTCCTTGCAGAAACAAAGGACAGAGGCATGTTAGCAAGATGGTGTCCACAAGAGCAGATTTTAAAGCACCCATCAATACGATGTTTCGTACGTGACATGGGATGGAATTCAACGCTTGGAAGCCTTACTTGTGCAGTTCCATTTCTTTGTTGGCCATTTTTTTGAAAGCAGCAAACCAATTGTTGGTTTGGTTGCGACAATTGGGGTATTGGCATGGAGATCGATTGTGATGTAAAGAGAGATCAAGTTAAGAATCTTGTTAGAGAGTTCTTGGAAGGAGAAAAGGGCAAAGAAGTTACAAAAAGGCGATGGAATGGAAGACAGAGGCAGAATTCTTCTATCCGGAGCATAGTTTTAAATAGGAAACGTGGCTGGAAAAACAATCACGTAATTGCGATTGCAAATTGTGGGTTATCATAATAATAAAATAATAATCACAATAATTAATATTAGAAATGCATTAACAATTATTAATAAAATTTGATTCATAGTTTAATATTATATAAAAATGATTGAATTTATTATTAAAAAATTAACAAACATTTCTAATAATTTAGCATCATAAAAAAAAAAAGTAGCATAAAGATATATAATAGATTAAAAAACAACAAAAACAATGTTAAATATAGCATTATTATTTGTGTAAAACGTAAATAAGACTTTTATAAGTCCGATTCCGTTACGTAAATAAGACTATCATTCCAAACTATGACCTAGAATTTAGAAAATTTGCAAACAGGCATTCTCCGGGTGCCAAAGAAGAAACAAATTTGAGAAAGATAAGCTACTTGTTTCACCAGTCTTATCAAAGAAATAAATCAATGCAATGTTTTTTTCCCCCTTTTAATGAAAGCTATGTGACAATCAGCTTTATATTATATGATTTAACTTGGTCAACTGACTTCATAGTTATATGTAAACCTGGCCTGCATGGTTCTGCACTCAAATAGCACCTGGCCTGAAAGTTTGTCACAAGGAACTACTGCTACTTTCCCATCTCCAAGTCAATCATAAGGGGTAAGCTTGCGCATTAAATCATAAAAGTCAAAATCTGTTCCCATATCGTTGCCTCACATTTTATTGAAAGCAAAGCAGCTACAAGCTTTTTACAACAACATTATTATGCCTTACACATCCTACACTGACAATTTATTATTATCCTTAACGCATTAAAGTTCTAGAAAAGATAGATATCCTAGACCTGCGATAGCAACAAACAGACTTGAACCAAGAACAGTTGCAGATTTTACTTCCACATCATGCAGCATGATCCTCGTGGAGGAGCATCTGATCAAAGTGCCATACTCCTGCAAGCCCACAAGCACTTGTGTTAGAACCAAAATTATAAATACATGGAAAATGGATGAAGAAGTGGGCTAGCTTGGTGAAAATAACAAGATACTGAAAATATGAGTTACATGCATACCATGGCCTTTTCCAACCCTTCTCAATTGAGAAACATATTCTGCTATCTCCTTAATGGATTCAACCTGACAACAAATTTGAACTAGTCAGAGAATGATGCAATAGGTATCTTTACAGGAGCGAGCGTAAAACGTTTTACCGATTATGATGAAAAATTATATGAACCGTTCTTTTTTCAACATAAAACTCATTTTCTTACATGCACAATCTGAAGACCTTATTTCTACCCCACAGGATTAGTTCATACAAGAGTTCAAAGACTTGTGTCGGATTCAGGGGAAACAAATATAATTGACTTTGAGCTCACCTGTTCTCCTAAAAACTCTCTCTCGACGAACTCTGCCATTTGTGGATCGTTGTTCTCGCATGCCACCTGTTATTTATCAAGAACATAGCATCGCTCATGAGCAGGATTGTGCAAACTATTGACGCAAACTATTGACACTTCCAGTCAATGATCATTGCAAGAAAAGTGCTCACTGCTCCCTATTTACAAAAACTGAAAAGAAAACATGGTGAAGGCAAAAGATATATCACCTTGTGCAACCTCAGCAGTTTCTCATTTGTCAACTTCTCCAAAGACAATGCTAATTCCATAGCTGAATCAAAGGCATCCCAAGTTAATTATCTCAGAAGAACTGTAATCATCATCCATAACGGATGGAAACCACAACAAAGATCCCAGAAGAAGTAAAAATGACAAACAAGATTGTAATCTTAACTATGTCAAAATCCAGAAGAAATATTATTACCAATTTCTAACAATGAACATTTGTCTAGATACATACCGTATAATGCATCTCCTTTCTCAACATGCTCAAATTCAGAAGGGGGTGTCAAGATAGAGTGAAGTACTACTCTCCCTCCACGTATATTCTAAACAAATATAATTGGAGAATGATTAGACAAACTAATCAAACACATCCAAAATTGAAAAGAAAAAAGGTTTTTAATCAGGGAATATTTGAGTTCCCAAGTCAGCAGTACCTGATACTCCATGAGCTTCTCAGCATGTTCTCTTTCTTCTTCACTTGATTCCTTAAAGAATCTGGTTACAAGTCACAACATGACCATAACATACCATACCTCAGTTCATTAATTCAAAACGAAAGAAAAAAAAGAAAGTACTCAAGAATAAAGAGATAGAATCTGGTGGGGTTACTTGGCTAGGCCTTTAAGAGCAACGTAATCCCTGTCAAAAAAGGCAAACATGGCATGGTATACATAGGATGCTGTGTACTCCACACTGCAGACACAAAAAACAAACACAGATCAATAACACTATTCTGCAGTGAGTCCACAAGATTCTATCTTTTATGAAAAGAAAGGAAAAGAGAAAAGTCATCACTGACTTGATCTGCTCATTAATAGCAGCTTCACTCTCGTCTGCAAAGTACTGACGAGCAAGAGAAACCTGAGGAGCAATAGGTACAACAAAGTCCTCCTTCTTCACCTCTTCAAATGGCTGGAAAATAAGACCAGTAAGGGTTTCAGCAGTGGCGGAAACTACAAGACTCGTGTTTCTTTTCTTTCTTGAAAGCAAAGGCAAGGCAGAAATAGAAGAACAAGAAATGCCATGCCTATCACTAGGAGGACTAGTAATAAGAGCACTAGCAGTGTCCCCTTGCTTTGCTGCAAGAGAAAAAGATGAAACAGGTCCCAAAAACGTTGAAGCCATGGCTTAAGAAGAGAAAAACAGAGATGTATTTCAAAATTCAGAGAGATTTTTTGCTATGGAAATGGAGATTTTTGGCTGCTTAGGTTGGAGAAGCAGGGGATGGTTAAATACTGAGAGGAGGGTGTTACAGCCTGGATGAGCTTTGTTTTATGCCGTTGGATTAATTTAGATGTGGAGGGTTCAGATTTAGCCACATGTTGAGGGCGTGTGGAAGGCCCGTGGTCTATCCAGTGTGAATGGGATCTCACCAAATAACACGTTCCATGTAGCAATCTTTCTATCCACAAAAGTTGTCCTTTCGTCTCACTTGCTCGAGTGTATTGAACAATCTACTCGCGGTGTGAGATCGAGAATTGTATGAACTTTGACTTTTCCTTTTGCTTTGAAAATTTGAGTGGTTACGTGTCTTAAAAGACAGGTCTGAGACTAGGTTAATGTTGTCGCACACTGCCAAAAACTTTGAATTTGGACGTGATTTGTTGTCTTTACATGAACAGCTCTTTTTTATTTTCCGGAAAACCATGATTTAGTGCTTGAGTTTGAGTAAATTATGCAATAGACCCTTTTACAAAAAACATATTGTCATTTTTACCTTATATGAGTCATATTTTGTCAATTCAACCCAATTGGATTAAATTGTAAACAAGAGGGACTGTAGTTTTTTACAGTTAAGTCCAAATTAGTTGAGTTGACGAGATTTGAAGCAATATTTTTATAGGGGTTCATTTGCCTAATTATTACAAAAAAGGACCTAAAATTGGGGAATTTCCCCTCTACTTTTCTCTTCTGTTTTTCTTTGCTGGAATTGTCACAATCCATCTCTGAGTATTGATGCAAAACATAAGTGGTCCTTGCCATGCTGTCTTTTGATGAATCGTAAGCTTGTTTGCCTGCTGTTTTTGCCCAATTCCAGATCTTTCACTTGACCGTTACTGAGAAGACTGGCCCAACTATTGATGGACATGTGAGGAAAATATTGCCCAACCTACTAGTTAATGGGCTGTATAGGTCTAGCCAGGCTAGATTGTTGCAACTATGAGATAATCCTTTTCCTAAACCCATTTTGAGGAGGTCTAGCGGTAAATTAGTCGAATGTCCAAGCATTGCAGGAGAGGGATTCAATTTTAATTGTTGGGTGTCTGCTTCACCATTTCAATATTTAGTACCATTATTTCACCTTTTTGTTAACTCGATAACTGGTTGTTATTAATTATTTTAGATGTGGTATTAATTGATTTTAAACTTTCAGATTCCAAATTTTTTATATTTTTTAAATCGAAAAAATAAGTCTAAGCTGATAGTCACAAAGTTATAATTTTTAGTTGGAAAACAAAACTCTTATCACTTAATCATTTTTTGTGATTATAATTTCACTTTATTTATATCATTCTTCTTGTATTTACACATAACTAATATCAAATTAAAAAAAAAAAATTATCCCACGAGTTGTCAATTTAAAAAGAGTCGAGTGTGTTTTATTATTGACTTAACCCGGAAAATGATAAACTTAGCCTCTATTGATATAAAAAATGATATGAGGATATCAATCTATCGATATCACAATCGACAAGCTTCAAACACTTTCCTATCCCAAACAAAACCGAAATAACTTACTCCACTTGCAGGATATACAAAATCACCCATCCTATCGATTGGGGACTTGACCTTTCCGGACAAAAAACTTTGCCCACAAACTTCAAATCTGCTCGTGAATCATTGCCTCCTTCTCCTATTGGAATTACCAGCGAGCATGGTTCAACACCATTTTTCTCCAAAACAAGAAGAAAAGTCACTCTTGGCTTTTTTATTTTGACTCAAAATTTATCTCTACAAACTTTCCTATGTGGTTCCTTCAATGGTAGAACTACTTTGGTCCTCTCTCAAAAATACTTACCCCTAGTGTTTCTAAAAGTTGTAATCTGTTCAAAACACATTTCAAACCTTCAAAAAGAAAAACGATTCACACCTCTTTTCCTTTTCTCGCACAAAATTCTTTCTTCTTTGTGTCCGTTCTCGGTACTATGATGTTATTTATTAAGAACAGGCTATGATCCTTGTCCGAAGATTCAAAGTCAAATGGTGGGATTCTTTCAAGATTCCTTTCTAAAACCTTCTTCATAAAACTTATTTACGAGTTAAAGATGGGTATTATTTTGGTAATCCGAGCTTTAGTTGATCTACAGAATAGAGAATCCATAACTAGACTATGGTTTGGAGCATTGGATACGTAAGTTATGAAGGTGATTCCTCTTATTTACTTGCCCAACCCTAGGGACTTACTACGACCACACCGACTCAATTATTTGATTTTGAAAAATATAAAAAATTTTACTTCAATTTAAAAAGATGATGTCTCTGTCAACATCTAAAACATTGTTTAATAGAATAATTTTACCAATACCAATCTTCAAACCATAGGAAAGCAACTTGTTAGGATTGAAAACCACATCCGAAATCGAGTTGTTTCCACTTGCTGTTTCTTTAAAAACCTCAACCGAGGATAAGAAGCTAAAAAACCCAATCTTTAAACCTTTTTAGATTTCTAGGAATAGTCAACGACAAATCCAAACCAATAAGCCGAGTTTCTAAAAGCCATTAGAGACCGGTTTAGCAAAATAAAAGTTTCCTCTATAGGAACCTCTAAATAAGTAGTACCGGACATACCCCAATCCCATAGTGTCAACGTACTTAGACCAAAACTCAAAGGTAGAATCTATCCCCGAGATAAATAGACTTAGTTGGAAAAACCCTCTACCTATAATCACCGCCCACGACATAGGAGAGATACAAAATAAGCTAGCTCAACCAAGGTTTAATGCCTCTTCATCTATGAATGGAACATAGATGGATTGTCATAATGTAATATCTTGAACTTACTTCAACAAATGACCATGGCGGCTAACGCCTACAAAACCCAACTGGAACCTCCGATCGTGCGATTGCTTGAATTGCTTATTGTCGGGTTTTCGAGCCAATTGAAAGGATGGTGGGATTATCATCTCACTACCCAACAACATTTAAAAATCTTAAATTCCATCCAAACGGACCAAGAAGAACTCCATATCCTAGATGACTTAGGTGAACCAATTCAAGATGTAGTATCAACACTCATCCTAACTATTTTCCTTCATTTCATAGGAGACCCTTCACACTCGAAAAATAAAAATGTTGAACTCCCGAGCAACCTTAGGTGCAAAAACTCGGTGACTTCCAATACTACAAAACCACTTTCCTTACTAGAGTCATGCTTCATGAAGACCATAACCAACCTTTCCTTTGAAATTTTTGAATGCACATGACAATGCCGAGAATTTCTTTTTTGATTGTGGAATAATTCTTTTGACAATCATTCCAATGAGCAGAGGTAAACCGCATAATTTGTTCTTTCCCTAGAGAAACTTGTTTAAGAATACCACCATAACCTAAGTCCGAAGCATCAATCTCTACAATTTTTGGTAAAAAAGGATCGGCTAGGTGAAGGCTAGGAATTTCTAAAACTTGTTTCTTAATTTGTTGAACAATCTTTGTATGTTCATCGATCCGGGGAACTAGGGTTTTCTTTAACCTATCATGCAAAGGTTTTGCGATACAATTAATGTTTAGACGAAATCTAAGACATAGTTTAAACTTCTTAAGAATCTTTGTAATCGAGTTTTGTCAAGAATCTTGTCGGGAAACTCATTAGCAAATTCTAAAGATCTTTCTATAGGGAAATGGTTTCTTGGGTAATGTAATGACCTAGGAAACGCACCTTGGTTTGGAACACAATTAAACCATTCTTTTTTTCAACATGGAAAAAGGTTTTGAGATGCTTGAAATGCTGTTCTATAGACATTGAATAAATAAGCACATCATCAATATAAACAATGCATAAATCAGCATAAACATGGAAAATATCATTCATAATCTTCTAGAATTCGGAATGGGCATATATATATATATATATATATATCAAATTTTAATTAATTTGATAACTAAATTCTAAAGTTATTTAAAAAAATTATATCATTAAAAATAAAGGAAAAAAAAACTAACATCATGAACTTTCAATAGTTTAATTAAGACAAAACCAATACATATGTTATAAGAAATTTTGATTTAAAACTTTTCATTTAATTTCTCATTCTTGAAAAAATTAACCGTTAGCATACATAGTTTTTTTTTTTTCACACATAGTAGAAGAGATCTATTTTATGTTGTTAATTTTTAATTTGTATCGAAGTTTTTATTAGCTAGCTAGCACGTACTTAGATCTTAATTTCATAGGCGTGGCAAATTCACATTTCTGTAGCATTACACTTCATGAGAATTGATTATGCCTTACTGTATATTTAGATTAGACAGATACAAAAAGAGTATTTTAGAAAGATCACTTTCAAACTTCAAAATACCTTATATTTATCATGAACTCTTTAGGAAGCATCATAATAAAATGATTAGCACACTAAAGCAACTATCACAGGCTTCATCCAAAGCCTTCAGAAACATGATTTAAAACTGTGGTTATTGTCATGGCCCCACAGTCCTGAATCGTCCTACAGAAGAGGTGAAATGGTTGCATAAACAAATCATTTGATAGTTTCCAGCAAATTGTTTCCAATCAACCATTTGAATTTCCATAAGCGTTGGCCAACAAAACGAAAGGCGGCGTGATTAAAAAAGAGAGGCGAAACAATATAAGCAGGCGACCGACCAAACAACCCAGATGAAAATACATACATGCCTTGAAAAGAAGAACTAGGGAAAAAAGGCAACAGAGGTACGGAAAGAGAGATATAGCAAAGTAAAAACAATTATATACCCAATGCAACAAACAAAAATGATGCCGTAGGAGAGGGAAAAGCAGAGACATGAAGGGCAAGTAGTACAGATGTCCTCTCAACAATTAAAGCCCACCGTAGGTGCAGAAGCAAGACAACAACAATGAGGAGAGGAGAGGAGAAACAGAAACACATAAAGTTGGAAGAGGACTGGATGTTGCAGAGTACAAAAGGATTATGCGTGGAAGGGTGGTCAGAAACAAACAGTAACGAAATTGAATGAAAGAAGAGGACGAAAGAAAGAGCGCGCGATGCAATATAAAGAGCAAAAGGGCCATCAAAGAACTGCAGCGAATTAAATGCCACATCCAAAATATGGTGCCACCCAAAAAAAAAAAAAAAAAAAACAGAGGCAGAAGTGATGGGAAAAGAAGAGGAAATGGGGAATGAAATTTTTAAACATATTAAACGAACAGCTGGAGAATCGGGCAGCAGCAAGAAACATGGACCACACACTCACCAAACAAACGGCCAAGATTAATCGAAAGGGAGACAAACAGTGGAGATGAGTCACAATCCACAGTCCTTGAAACTGCGTGAACAGAAGATAAACAATGACTCACCATGTGTTTTATTTTTTTTATTTTTTTATTTTTTGTAGTAGATATGCATGCAACCATGGCTTTTACCATTTTATTTAGGGTACTTCATGGACAAAAATTTTAGACAATTATGAGATTGCCCAACAAGTTTTTACACCGAATGACAACAATTTTAGACAATTATGAGATTACCCAACAAGTTTTTACACCGGATGGCTTTGTAAAAAATAATTTCATTTAAAAACTTAAACTATTAAATAAAATTACATAATATAATTTAGATTATTTTTTAATTATTTAGATTTGAAATTCATATAAATCCATACTTAATTAATTAACAATTTAAAATAAAATCACATGATATGATTTATATTATTTTTTAATACGTTTTAATAGAAAAAAGAAATAAGATTTGAACTCATAAATACTTGATCAAGAAAATTCTAATAATATATCAAAAAATTATTTCAACAAAAAACTTAAGATATTAGATAAAATTTTAAAATATAATTTATATTATTTTTTGAAATATTATGAACTGCCAATCTTGGTTAATAAGAAGCATGATCATGTTGACAAAATCCACAAAAATAATATCAGCAATTTAATATATATAAATACCGTCCTGAGTCAATTCTAGATAGAGACAGAAACAACCAACAAGCAAGCGATTCATCAAAAGTAATAAATAAATAAATAAAAGTGTGTGTATGTATATATATATATATATATATATATATATATATATATATAGTCAGTACGTGCCAAAAAAAGCTGACATGGATGGATGTCTTTCGAGACTTCTTAGCTGGATTCAAGTCTTAATTGGTTTCTTTTTTTTAATGGTACTTTTCTTTCAATAAATTATTGCGCTTAAGTTTTCTCAATACCTATAGAAAAATGTAATGGTACATTTTTTTTAATTTTTTTTTAATTTGGGTTTCCAACTTTCTTTTTAAATCAAATTCTTTCATTCTGATGATTAATCTTAAACAAATTGAATACACGTAAAAAAACATATAGAATTATAAAACAACCACATATGTCTTGTGGTTAAGATTTTCAAGATATGTATTGTTGTTTTAATAATTTTATGTGTTTTTTATATTATTTGAAATTGATTAACAAAAAAAAAAAAACAAAATCGCAAACTAAAAAAAACATTGAGGATCTAAATAAAAAAAAAAAAAGATTAGAGACCTTTTTTTTTCCTTTTACCAATTAACAGTTCAAATACTTTATAACCAATGCAATTTAATATAAATAACATACTATTTCAATTCTATCTAGCTAGAGGCAGAAACTCAAACAAGCAAGCAATTCATCAAAAGTTAGAAAAGAAATGAGCATATATATACGTGCCAAAAAAAGCTGAGATGGATAGATGTCTTTCAAGACTTCTTTGCTGGGTCTAAGTCTTATATATATATATATATATATATTGTACTAATTTTCTTTAATAAATTATGATGCTTTAAGCTTTCTTAATATGATCAATAGAAATGTAATCATAAAATCTTTTCATTCAATGATATGTAAGCTTTACAATTACACGAGAGTTGAAAAGTAATCAACCTTATCCAATTAATTTGTGACTTTTTGATTTGCATTAATTCTTAACTTGACAAAAAATGATACATCAGTATATATATTTCAAATTTTCAATTTATAGCAGAACATACTCTTCGAATTTCACCATTAGTTCCGGTTTTCACACCGATATTGCTCATCTTGACCATGGACCTGCCAAACTCCACACTAAAAGTAAGCCCAGCCAAGCCTCTGACACCAAGGAAGCGTTGGACGAAGGTTCTTGTAGTAGTATCGGTCCATAACTTTTGATCAGACTCAAGTATTCCTCGACCACTTCTCAAGTTTGCAAAGAAAGATGAATCAAAACGATTTTGGCTACCAGTGTCTAGGGCAATACGCCTTGACCCATCGCCATTTTGTGGACAAAGTGTCTGTAGTTGAGAGACAAATGAAGCGTCGATGGATGAGTCAGCACCATTTCCAGTTGTTGTGAAGTTGTACAGTCTGTACCTGAAGAATTGGCAAGCAGTAGTTCCTATGGTGTGTCCTCCTGTGAAAAAAAAAAAAATTAGCAATATTAAACAATGCGTGCATGGTTATAGGTGTTAGAATATAAATAATATATAAAGTTGAGAAGGTATCACCCATCATACTTAAATCTTTTGAATTAACTCAGTGTTAATTATCTAACTTTAATAATAAGTTGATAAGTTCCCTTAATGAAATATATTTATTTTTTCTTACCAACAAGGGTAACAAGATCTTGAGTGTTGAGACCAAATGCTGCAAACTTCTGTTTTTGCACGTCAATGGAGTCGGTAAAACCCGGCAAATTGGACGCATCAGAAGCCAATGAAACCCTACCATCTCTGCGTCCTGTGGGCACCGACCAGGTGAGTCCATTTGCCTGCATGCAATGAACGTTATATGTGTATTAGAGAATGTTGATGCAAAAGAAACAGTCGTAATACAAGAAAAATTATTAGATACACTCGAGGTTTTGCGTCCTATATTTATCTATCTATAAATTTTTATGTGTGTACGTGTGTGTATATATATCTCAAAAGAAGTAGAAGGTATATACCAAAACTACAGAATCACGAGCTGCAAGGGCAAGAATGTCTGCACATGAGACAACACCAGGGCACTCCGCTTCAAGCCGAGTCTTGGCATCAGCAATGACATCAAATCCTCTCAACAAAAGGTTTGGTCCTGCTGTTTTTTCAGTGTTAGGGCCATCAATGAGGACGGAAGCATCACAACCATTCACAAAGCAATCGTGGAAATGCATCCTCAGAAGCCCAGGTGCAACAGAGGGATCTGACGTAAAATGAGACTGCACTGTTTCCCTAACAATGGATTCAGCCCTACGACAGGTCCTTGCATAAAACCCAACACGAGTGCCTTGGCCTTGTACCATGGTGGTGGCAACCATGGCAAGCAAAAGAAACATCAAAACTATTTTTTGGCTCATTATATATATGATTGCAATCCGAGTAGTATAAACTTTAGCTAGGTTTGTGCGATCTCGAGGGATGCAAGCTAGCTAGCTCGGAGTTTACTACATATTGGCATTGTTTTTTGGTAACATACATATAGGCAATCTTTAGTCAACTGAGCTGAGGAGTGAAGTAAACAAAGTCGGCTATATGCTGTGTAAATTGTAACGTCTGATTAGAATAGGAAAGATTCAAAGTTGAGCAGAAAATCCAGACAAGAAAGGTTAGTGGAAATGATAGGGATACCATGGTGTTCTTTGTCGCGTTACGACGAATGCTCTGCATGACAGTAGGGCTCACGCGGTGGCGAGAAAGTCCTAGTCAACTCTTTTTTTTGTTGTGTTTTATCCAAGTCAACTAAATAACAACTCTACACGGATAATTTTTATTCTATCCTTAAAAATGAAAAGAGTCAGTTTACTGTATAATGACTAACCTTAATTTGTCAAGGATATATAATCCTATTTAGAATATCATCACCTTTAAAACAAACAAACAAATACCAGAGTTATTGAAACGATAAAACTTTTTTTTGAAGAAAAACAAAGGGTGAAATTTGAGTTTGTTTTCTAATTTCACATATAGGTTGTATTGGTGCTAAAATGAAAAAATATTTGTAGAAAAAATATTATTTATATTATTTTATTACAATGAGGGAGATTTAAACCTTTATTGATTGTAAATTATAATAATAACTAATATTTTAATAGATTTTTTTAACAACTTATTCCTTTGAGGATACTATAATCCTATTTATCCCTTTCAGGATACAATACTTCGATTGTCTATCATCTGACTCTACTCTAACTCTGCTTAATTAAGTCTAAAACTCCACCATATAAAACACTCTTTTTTAACTATTAAATACTCTCAAGAATATTGTTAAAGTGAAGATATATTTGTAGTCACTGGAGAGATATTTATGAGTTATTGGTTTGAGTTAATTTTAGAGTGAGAAGGAAGATATCTATATGAAAAATTTATAAAAAAATTTAACCTAACTTTATAAAAGTTCAATAGTATAATGTTAAAATTTTTCTTTTTAAAAAAATCATACGAATATATTTTAAAATTAAAATGTTACACATGCATTTCCCTACTCATTTTAATTTTAAAACTTAGATAATTAAATTTACCATTAATCAAAGAGAGATTGTTATATATAAAAGTGTTATATATTTTACTGTGATTTAATAGTGGTCTCTGACTGGAAATATGACTGCTTAAAAAAAGTGTTCTGTATTGAATCTTTACTTAGTGATATAGCAATTTCTCTATGCCAAAGTTAATAGTGGTCTCTGACTTGAAATGTGAATATTAATAGTGGTCTCTGACTTGAAATGTGAATGCTTAAGAAAAATAAAGTAACACCATCCATACATAACAATCCGGGTGTTGATATTAGCTTTGATAGATAGCCAATAAGCTTATTCTAGTTTTTTTTTTTTTTTTTAGCATATAAGAGTATCAAAGACCTTCTCAACTTAAAGCTTAAATTATTAAGTGAGATGTTAGAAAAAGTTTTATATTATTCTATAATACACTCCTTTAAGTAAAAATATTTTGGGTTTGAAACTTGTAGAAATTTAAAACTATTTTGAGTTTAATAATTTAATTAAAAGATAAATAAAAAATGTGAGATTGGAACTTGTGACCGTTTGATCATCAAAACTTTGATACTATATTAAAAAATTATTTCAATATAAAAATTTAAGCTATTAGATGAGACTATAAAAATGATTTTATATTACTCTCTAACGCTACAAAAAAAAAAAAAAGATTTGCCAAGGAAAATTAGCGACGGTCTCAAAACCGTCGCTAATTTACTAAAAATTGTGATGGTTTGAAGCACTTTAGTGAGGATCTTCACAATCATCGTTAAATTGGTTCTAAAAAATCATGAAAATTAGTGACGATTTTTTCCGGAAAAAACAATTGCTAATTTCAATTTTTTTAAAATTTTTCCTAAAGCCATTATTGCGATGACTTTTTTCACAAAAAATATCACAAATTATGAAAATTAACAAAGGTTTTTTATGACAGCTTTTTCCAAAAAAAAAAACCGTCGCTAATTCTAATTTTTTTTAAAAAAATTTCTAAACGCATTTACGCAACAAAAACCGTCACAAATCATGAAAATTAGCAATAAGTTATTTCATATATATTAATTAATTTTGTACGAAAATAAAAAATACGAGAGATGAAAGGACAATTCCCCTCCATTTCCTTAACAATTTTTTAGCATTTCCTAGCTATCCTAGACTAATTCTCCAATCTCGCTCACTATACGGAGATGGCGTCGTGGAATCGCAAGAGTGAGATTGGTGGCGTAGGAGCTGGTCCTTCAAGACATACGAGGATGTCAATCGGCCATAGAGAGCACACAATACGCATATATATATATATATATGATATCAAAATAATTAATTAAATATTTGAGTATATTTAATACATTTACGTATATTTGTTTCGGCGTGAGGTGTTAGGTCGTGTATCCGATCCTCACGAGATTTTCTTGAGCACTCATAAGAGAAAGATTGATGATCAATATGTCTTCATTGATCAACGGTCAAGAGTTATCGGTGTAAGTTATTAGTTTATAATGTTATTATGTACATATTAATTTATAACGTTATTTCACATAATTGTTTAACATTATGTCTTTCACGATTATGCAGGAGATCGTAGAAAAATTAATAAATGAGGAGAGGACGTTGCTAGCCGCGGACCGAGGGGACTTCATCGACCGACATCAACATTAATGAGATTTTTAGGAAGGTCGTTGGTGAAGGAGATAATAAGAGGAAGAGGATGTACGGACTTGGGTTACATGCATCTCATTATTACTCTAACGTCGGTACAACCTCTAGTTTGGCAACTTTGCGGTTTCATGTTAGTGATGAGGCACAACGAAAGGAAAGCGATGATCGAACTCGTTACAAATATACAAGAGATCCAAGACCTACGAGGTACTCGTCATAATGCTCGTTGGCTACAACAAATGAGTTGAAGGAGTTCACTCAACGAGCAACATGTGATAATGACACGGATGTAACGGATGTTTCGTAGCATTTTTAACAAGGTGGTAGTTCATCTATCGTGCCTACTATTGACAACAACTCCACCCAACCTTCGGACGATTCCACTCAACCTCCGAGTGATAATCCCGCCAATCTCTCCTAGCTATCATGTTTTCTTGTAATAACAAAAAACTTTTTACTTTTTTCAAGAATTTACTAATGGAATAATATTTATTATATTTTAATAAATTTTATAATAAAAAATTATGAAATTTTAAAATATTATGTTTTGGGTATTTTGTAGACTTTTAAATAGCGAGTTGGTTAATTTAAAATGAGGGTTAAAAAAAACTGAAAATAACATCTTAGCAATGGAATTAGCGACGGTTTTAACCGACACTAATTGAGAATTATAGCAACGGTCCTAAACCCTTGCTAAAATCGTCACTAAATTGTGACGGTTTTAGCGAGGGTTTCTTTGTACCGTCGTAATATTTTCTTACTTCTATAATTATTTTTTGTGACGATTTTTTAGTTTTGCAACGGGTTGGGCCGTTGCTAAATTAGTGACGGTCCAAACTATGATAAAACCGTCGTAAAATTTTAGCGATTAGCATTTTACGGACGGTCTAGACCGTCATTAATTCTATTATTTTTTGTAGTGTAACAATAAAAACAAATCCAATTCTCATTTTTTTTATAAAAAAAGCCACTCTCATACTCGTATAGATGAGCGCTCCTGTTACTATAACATCCTATTCATAAGAGTAATAAAAATTCATTAACAGTTCTATACGAAAGTCAACCTCCATTCATTACAGGATGAATGCACTACACCATAAACAGGGATAAAACAGTTAAATAAATTAATTTATCAAAAAAATTTAGTGCATCCCTACAGCCACCATGTGATTCGTTTTTTCCATTAAACCTAGTTACATGATCTCTAGTCTCTAGATTGGCTATCTTCGTACATGGCTCTTCTGTTGATGTGCTCCGGACCTTTCCTATTGCTGGGACTTTCGTTAACAAATTTGCAAGATTAGCATTGAATTTAGTATAATTCACATTAATCATGCCACTAGTTAAATAAGATCTCACAGTATCATATTTTTTCCATATAGGTTTCTGTTTATCGTTATAAAAAAAGATTCGGCATTCTACCAACCACAGCGATACTATCACAACGGATCAAAACTTGTGCAACTTTTTTTCCTTTTTTTTTTTTTTTCAAAGTGTGATTGAATTAGCAATAATAGTTTGCTTTTTAGATTTCCAATAAATAGCACCGCCACCTAAAGTAAATATATAATTAGAGGTAGAGAGAGAATCACCTGACAAAGTATTCTAATCAGCATTACTAAAACCTTCAAGCACTACAGAATACCTTCTCAATGGTATTATGCCAGTGCTCTTTACTCAGCTTACTAGGAAACCTTCCAAGTACTCGAACTTCGTAAACGATATCATCAAGTCTGCAATATGCTGTGTAATGTAAAATGCCAATTAAACTGACATATTCCTTTTGATCAAATCAAATCATAATCTTTCTCAACAAGAAACAAATGGATTTTAGAATCAAAATGAGTAGTTACATGCTTTCAATTAATAAAATCATATTTTCTCAATATAATGCGATTGGTCAAGAAAAATGCCATCATGCATTTTGATAATTTTCATACCTAAAGTGATATTTATTTTGCCAACATCTTTCATATCAAAATTGCTACTCAACATTTTATGGTCTCTTTAATCACCCACAAATTTGTGTAAAAAATTAATAATTTATCAACATAGAGGCAAATATATAACATGTGCACTTTCTATAATTTTATACCAATTACATTTATTATCACATGAATTTGTCTTTCAGCCATTATCAATCAATTTTTGGTGGTGCTAAAATGAAAAATATT